GCTTCCAGGAGGTCGGTCTAGGGATTCGCTTTCAGGGTTTCGGGTTTAGGGTTTAGGTTTCGGGTTCTGCCTATAGTCTCCATTGTAGTTCCTTGTTTGGGATACCTTATAATATTATAGGGTCCTAAACATAAAAACTGGCTAAGCCCAAAAATAGAACTACAATGGAGACTTTAGGTAGGGTTTAGGATATCGGGCAATGAAGCAAGATGCCGGGTGTCGGTTTTCTGGTTTAGAGTTTTACGCATTGAGCCCCAAACCCTAAACCTTAAACCGGTAGCCCTAAATTACACCTTACTCAAAGCTTAAACCCTAAAACTAAAACCTAAGCCCTAAACCTCATGGTTCCGAGCCTGCCATTCTGCCCACGTTTGATTCAGCTCTCTCCCGCAACAGAGGATTCTAGCGCCGATCTTAAAGGGTACCACTAACGCTTCATTGCGAGTTTTGGGCGATGCAGTGAGGAGAGTTTGTGTTGAGTTGGGGTTGACAGTACACGCTATGCGAACCCAGTTGCTCACGGATGCATATGGGAGGTTCCGAAAATTAGGGTACCTTATTTTGGGGTCCTTATAATAGGGAACCTATTATTTAGGGTACTGTATTGGGGTCCCCTATTTTTGGAAGCTCCCATATCTCAACCTGCAGAGGCCCTTATCAACCTGTGAGGTCCTACAGGACCCTGTCAGGCTTTGTGAAAGAAGCCTGTCCGTCCTCAGGCAGTGATGCGCTCCTTGAGAAAGCCTGGATCCGTCGCGCCCGATCTTTGGAAGGGCTGCCGGGAGCAAGAAGAGGGTTCGGGGTTTAGGGGTGTAAAATGTTCGGGCTCAGGGTTCAGACGTTGGCGTTTAAGGCTGGGATCTTTGGTTTGGGAAGGAACAGGGCTTTGGAGGGTAATTTAGGGGCTTAGCATGGTATATGATTACTCGCGGCCTATGTGAGGAACACATACGACAAATGGCCTAACCGTTTCTTTAAGCCTTGATCCAAGAACAACAGTCGCCTGCAGCTGAAGCAGCTGACTCTCTACATTCCACATCCTCAGCCTAAATCGCAAGCAGTTGGCTCAGGTTTTTGCGGGCATGTAAAACCTAAACCCTGATGTCCCTTTGAAAGTGCTTCAGATGCAATCCCCTACGAAGTGGTAACTAAGCTGCAGGCAGCAGAACGCGGTGCTTCTGTGTTTAAGGGTCCTTGCGATCAGGATGCTAAAGCCTAAACCATAAATTCAGACGTCTAGTCTAGAGGAGGCATTTCCCATGTAGGTGCACAATCCCGTCAAGCCTGCAAGCAAGGGGCAGTGCCTCCTAACCTCTTGATTGACGAACCCAATTTCTTGAAGTGCCTTAAATGCTTTACTAGCACGTTCAAGTTTAAACCAACACCCCTTAAGGGAGGGGGGAATTTTAATCAGGGGTTTCCCTAACCCCCAGGTACCCCCAGGTACCTACTACATATAATACTAGAGCCTCTAGGGCCCTAGATAGTAGGTACCTGGGGGGTTAGGGTTTGCCCATTGCAAGGTTGGGCGTGGACACCTGTTCAACGGCATTGGACACCGTGCCCCTCAAAGGCGTCATCGCCGAAGCAAAGCCTCTCGCAGAGAATGTAGGGTTTAGGGCTTATGGGTTTAGGGGTTTAGGGTTTAGGGTATCGCTGAAGCAACCGAAACCTTGAACGCTCAACAAACAGGATCCCTAAACCCGTATGGCCCAGACATGTAAGAAGTGAAGAGACCCAAAAGGAGTGCGGCACCCTTAGAAATTATAGAAAAGGTCCCTAAAAGGGACCCGATTTTCGAGAACTACCCATGCAACTACGCGTTGGCCCCTTGAAAGGTTGTGAGTCGAGGTTGTCTTAACCATCGTAGCAGAGTAGTAGTAGTAGTAGTA